GCTAACCCTAACCCTAACCCTAACCCTAACCCTAACCCTAACCCTAACCCTAACCCTACCCTAAACCCTAACCCTAACCCTAACCCTAACCCTAACCCTAACCCTAACCCTAATCATAAACCCTATGCCGTAAACCCTATACCTTATCCCTGTCCGCTGTACGGTATACCCTATGCCCTATGCCCTGCCCCCTAAAATGTAATCCCTAAAGCCTAAACCCATTCTGATCAATCTCTGTTTTGAAAAGAAAGGTTAGGTTTGTTTTTTAAAAGAGTTGCGTGGATGCGGTAAGTTTTCCACTGCTTTTCCTGTTTTCTAAGGACATACTGCAAGTAGCTGCTACTAACGGCTGGCGTGGACTGTTTCGCTGCTGTTTGTACGTGGGGTTCGTTGCTCCCACTGACTCGGATGAAGCATGGTGGGCAGTGATGACTAGTAGTTATTCAACCTATTCAAGGAACATCGAGCCTAAAGAGTTGTGTTAGGATAAACGATGACATTTCCTGCTGTCCTGGATTTATTGCGTCAGGGGCTTGAGTCTAGGTCTACGATTGTAAGTGAATCCCAGTTGCAAACAACGAACCACCGTTTACTGCAAGATGGATTATGGAACCTAACGACTGAACACGTCAATGCCAGGTGGCTGGTAGCCTGCACGGAAGTACAGGTGCGCTAACCAACTTCGGAGACAGCATGCTGCTCCTGATCAACCTACAGCGTTCTCAAGGCAAAATCATGGACCTTAACCGGGCTTTCTTGCTTGCCCAGTTCGGTTCGTTGGTCTTGCCTATCACATTGCTCTGTGCCACTAGCAAGTGTAACGACAGCCCTGGACTTCCAAAAGGATAGCCGTTAGCTTCCCTAGAACTTAAGATAAATGGTAACCAGAAACACCGGTCCTCCAGTACACACTACGTCGGTCCAGCGCATAGTGGTTCAAGGGCCTGGGGCTGGTAGGCTGGTACGTATAGGGCCCGAGTCGGTATTCACTTGGAGAGGAGACTGCTCTAACCTGTACTTCAAGACAGCCTCACATGCAAGCGTTTTAAATCCGCCCTTGCTGCTTACGCTAACACTGTAGACAACTGTTAATATTCACTTCGAACTCAATAGGGAGCCCTAAATGGAGTAGAATCACACGGACACGCATACCTAAACAGTGCACAGTCCGCTACAGATTCAGCGATAGCTAGGCTGAAGCAGCCATTTTAACCGTGTTGAAGCCGAAATATCAGGCATAAATTAGTCATGATTACCAATGTTAGAATGGCTACAAGCTCCAATGGCGGGCCGTGGTGCCTGTGGTTCCCTCTGTTCCGCAACCTTGGAGGCACCAGGCGAGCAACAGATGAGTGTTAAACCAGCATTCAGGGTTTTCCGTGGAAGCAAACTGTAAATACGAGATCTTTTCCGTATCATGCACAAAAAACCAGATGGCACTTACAGCTTTGCCTAAGGAAAGTGACAATGCCAAATGGGGCTCAATGAGTGCCTAACACAGCATCGAAAGGTAACGCAGCCACACACTAGGTCAAAGTGATGGAAGCTTTCCCCCGCGTTTGCCGTATCTATGCATTTCGTTTCAAGTTTTTTACACGTTCCTTTGGCTTTTCCCAACACTTTGCATCATTTATCCCTGTTTTGCCTAGGCAGCAACCGCTGGATCATCTTCGCGGTGTAGCTAGCCCGGCGATTGCCGTCACATGCACTTCTCTTCGGCTGCTGTTGGAAGCTCCTACACTCGTTTTTCGCTATTCTCCAACATTTTTATCTCCTTAGCTCAACTAGAGGCCGACGAAGTATTCCATACCAGCGCGCAGGCCCGTGTTTCCATCCGTATGTCGCATGCATCTATTCCCCAGTAATAGGGTTCTCCCCTCTCTTCGTTCTTTTTTCCTTCTTCCCTTGACAACTCCCCGCCACACAGGACGCGCTTCTCAGAAAGATTTGAGGCGACTCCAGCCGATTTACCCACATTAGGACACTGCGGAACCAGGCAGCTGGAATAGACTCAGCAGCAGAAACAGGAGCTGCAGGAGCAAGAGCCTCAACCACCAGCAGCCGTGGATTCCTCTATACGTCACAGAGGAAGTACGATCCATATAATAACACTTCAGTGAGCAGCAAAAGCGGGCAGGAGCTGCCGTGGCAGCAACAATAAAAGCAGCAAGAGCAGCAGCAAGATTCTTTTGTATGCGTCAAGCTTAGCGTGTGTCCTCCGTGGCCGTCTGGCCGGCGGCTAGTCAAGATGGCGTCGGAGCCGTTCATTGACTATAAACCATCATGGGAGGTGTTAGCTCAAGAAGAGGGCAGCCTAGAGTCCGCCTCGGACTCAGCGACAGAAAAGTGCCCCGTAAAGCCGTCAAAGGGGGTTGCTGACGGTGCCAAATATAAACACCAAGACAGTAGAGATAGGTATCAATCACAGGATGGTCTAAAGCTGCGTTCTATAGCTGTAGTTAATGTGTCGTCTGCCCTGGACGGCTGTGACGACCAGCTACTCCCTGCTACATTCCGGGCCCTAGAAAGCGACTTAGGCTTTCATCCTTCTCTTCTGGGTTACATTACCCTCTCACAAACCCTTTGTCTTTCTATATTCTGCCCTCTGTGGGGATATTTAGCCGACCGACATTCCAGGAAGTGGTTGCTCGTCTTCGGCACCACCGCATGGGGGGTCATAACGACTGCCCTCGGACTCGTCTCCGAATTTTGGCAGGTATGAACAAACCCTAAGCCTTACACCCTACTGCAGAGGTTTCGATGTGCGGCCTCTGGCGCAGCGTTTGTTAGTGTGGGGACAGAGACGCCTGGGTGTTCAAGATCTATATAGAATTCGAGTCTGTTATTGTTTTCATTGTTTGCATTTGTTGTTGTTAGGTGGCCCTGCTACGAGCGCTAAATGGCGTCTTTTTGGGTAGTGTGGGCCCCGTGTCCCAGAGTATTTTGGCTGACACATCCCGTCGGAGGAGCTTGGGGTTTTCTTTCGGCCTCGTTCAGCTCTGCACCAGCATGGGCAGGTTGGTGGGAGGTGTCGTCACGACTACTGTGGCCCAGATACAAATGGGAGCCCTCAAGGTACGCCGTAGTATGCATACATACCTAGGGTATACCGCAGACATACTAAGTTATCAGTTCGATTAAATGAAAGAGATATCGATCTGCAGCAACCCTACATGAAGGGGTCTTTGTGGTGATCGGGATATGGGCACGACCTGACAGCGGTAGATCTTCTGTTTGCTTTTTCTTGGGTTGTTGGCTGCTCATTGAATGAACGTTTGTTTCTTCTGTGTGTCTCGGCCTTTGTTGCGGTCTCGTATGTGGGTTGTAGGGCTGGCGCGCTTGCTTTATTTGCGTGGGGGCGATGAGCTGTTTTCTGGGTGTCATCATATCCTTCGTTCTAGAGGAAATTCCTCGCAGGAGAGTCTTGAGGCCGCGTATGGATGACACGGGGGGTACAGGATCGGTAATGCAGTCGGCTGACACCTGGAGCTCTTTCCTTAAAGAGGTCGTCACGAAGTCCCTTGCCACCCCTAGCGTCCTCATTGTCCTTGTAGAGGTGGGCTCTCCATCCAGTCTGGTAGTTCCCACCTGGCTCCAGCTAGCTATATAATTCGACAGCGCGTTACTGGATCAGTCAGGCTGAAGCAAGCCAGGCATGACCTTAAAGGAACTGTTTATTGTGATGTAAAGCATATTATTTTGTGTACATCGCTGTAATGGTGCTATGCCCCGTCTGCGTTACCCACCACGCTCTCGGTTTGCGTGGGTGGCAGTACGGGTTTCAGGGTTTTGTGTCGGCCGCCAGGGTCAGTGTGCTGCTCATTTGAGTACCTTTATCCAGTAGTAGCAATGTTCTGCCTGACTGCAACGTGGGGCTCTAATCTCTGGACTGTGAATCAACACGGGTTGTGCAGGCGCTGTCTACAGAGCTGCACACACGAATGACGCAATGCCAGGATGGGGTAACGTGCCCGTGTGAACTCAGGGTCTGGTGGGGACAATCCCCTGGTCGGCATTCAGTTTCAACACGATGTTCTTTCAATATTGCAACATGTCGGACCTGAAGGCGGCATACATCATGGGAGCGCTGCTTATTGGTTCGGCGGCAGGCGGAGTCCTCGGAGGACTTTTGGGGGACAAGCTGTATGACTGGTCTCCTGGGCATGGCAGGCCGCTTGTTGGTGAGGTTTTGAGATCAACCAGTGAACCATCCAGCGCAATATCAGGCAAATGAGACTGCATTTAGAGCTTACTAAATTGCGGGAAAGCTGTCTACACTTGCGTCACCGCGTCGTTGTCTAGTTGTGCTCATACTAGCGTGTTAGTCTATCAGAGCTTGTGTTTGTGTATTCTGTCTCGGCGTTCTGGATGTTGTCCGCTGCCGGTCTGGTGCTGCACTCTTTATGCGTGTGTCGTGTGTCGGCAAAAGAGCAGGAGTATGGCTCTCCAACGAACTTGAACTTTCCTATGCGTACGCGTGCAGGTCAGTTTGCCATGGCAGTGCGGGTGCCCTTGCTGGTAGTCGCCTATGTGGTTGTCCCGAAAGAGGAGACATCGTTTGCAGTGTTCATGCTATTGGCCCTCCTGGTGGGACTCTCTTCTATGGCGGGAGTGGCGGTTAATAGGCCCATTCTTGCAGACGTCGTCCGCCCAAACCACAAAGCCACTGTTTTTGCTCTGGTGAGCTCAGTCTTTTAAATTCCATAGTAAATTAGCAGAGCTAATTTTATGCAACCCAAGTACCTTGCACGGGTTTCAAGGTCAGCAGCCCATCGGGAGTTGGATGGTGCGCGCTGCTGTGCTAAGGGTTGGGAGACATGTGACAACGGCTTAGCTTTCTTGATTGAGGTTTAACTGGCTTTGTAGAGCGCTCCTCGCTTATTTGATTCACCTGCCGTCACGTGGTGCTGATGACCTCGTGCTGCAAGCTAAGACAGCCAGCCTGTATAGCTTGGGATGAAGGGGAGGGGGGGCATGTGGTTGATTTTTGGAGTTTATTGCACTCAAAGTGGACGTGCTGCTCCTGTTCTGTTGTCTCGCCGGCTGCGCTTGTTCCCAACTGCGTTTGCTGATCCTTGCGTGCTCGTTGCGGGTGCAGACGGTGGCAGTGGAGGGCAGCGGAGCAGCTATCCTAGGGGCGCCGCTTGTGGGGTACTTGGCAGAGCATTCCTTTGGATATTTGCGCACAACTCTGTTGGTTGCTGAAATGCCAGAACAGCTCCGACTGGGAAACGCAAACGCCTTGGCCTCTGCTCTCGCCTTTCTTACGGTCATCCCGTGGTCCATCTCTTTCCTACTCTACGGGCTCCTCCACTTCACTTACGGCAAGCCTTCTACCAAACACTCCCTAACGCCGCTCATCCAAGAGCCACTCGTGCTATTGCTCCTCCTACCTTTCTTGTTTCTTTTGCTGCTAATCGTTATACATGAAACAATGGATAAATTATTCGTGTTACATACAGTATTTATTTGTATCCGCTACTGCTGCTATTTGTGTTTCGAACCGTGAACTGCAAGACCTTCGCACCCCAACAGTTGGAAGACCACTCGTTGGATGTTCGTGAGGGCATGTTGCTGAATAAAGTTATGACAGTTTTATGTGGGTGTTTTAGGGCGTGACCAAGAGACGATAAGCGCAGTGCTCGATGAGGAGTTTCGCCAGGACGAGGAAGACAAGGAGGAGTGGCAGAGGGAGAGAGGATCGCAATCTGCAGAGACAGAAGCCGGCTTCTCTGCCGATGCTGTTGCTGAAGCATTTTTAGGGACGCAAGACAGCGCTAGTGACACTCCTCGAAGAGGGCCTTCTCCACGCAGACCCCACGACCCCGCATTCAGTTCCAGTGACTGATCACGTGTTCTACTAGTAAGGCCCAGATCGTCCATACGGCAGCTAGTTCGCTGCTCTGACTCGACCTTGGCGGTGGCTTGTCTGACATTGCTACATTCTGTCGAGATGGGGTGTCCGTGAAATGCTGTGCTATAGCCTAACCACATTACCCCAGGCCCTAGAGCGGTGGCAGCGGCGAGACTTGATGCGTTGTCGACGCACCTTGTCAACATCGTGTACCAGCCGGGCTAGTTCAGTAGCTCTAGTTGCTTCCGAGGACTCGCCTCATCAACACGGCCTAAATGCGGTCAAGTGTATTTCAATGGCCTTTAAAAAGTATTCCAGAAGCAGATCAGTCTGTCGATGGCAGGCACACAGCGGCAGCAGCAGCAGCAGCTGCTGCTGCGAATGCAGCTGGAGCGACACGTGAATCGATGGGCAGTTCGTTCAGTTTATCCTGTTGGGCCGCCCGTAGTTCTCGTGTTGCGCCAAAAAGCAGGAACAACGCGTAAACCTCATCCCCGCTGGCAACTCTGCATTTTAACTGTTTTGACGCTAGGGCCGACCTAGCGCGACGGGCGGCCAGCTAGCGCTAACTAACACTTGGTCACGCAGGCACAAAGCACAGGGCAAGTAACTATGGATCGCGCTAGGGCACAAACAAAGCTCACCAGTGCATCCAGCTAAGTGGAAAGATACCGAACAATAAGGGGGCCGTTTGGAGTTGTATTGTGCCTTCTGCACAAAGGGCCATCTTCCGCCGCACTTCAGCGTAGCTTTGAGTACTCTATATGGAGCTACTGCGGGCGGCGCAGCTGCTGTAGTGTGCTTCACCAAAGGGAAGAGGCAGAAATGAGGGTATTTCTGGCACGTGAGGGTGCAGCATTAGGTTTGAGCGTGTGGCGAAGCGACTGCGTAGCTGTCGGTGGTGGAGGCTCTGGCAGAAAGAGGATTCCACTCTTGGGCTGCATGGGCTTGAGCATTTGTCGCAACACTTGTTCTAAGAGGCACTAGCGAAGTGCCGTGCTCCTTCTTCTCTTGCAGTAGGCCGCAGATACCCAATGATTCACTATCGCGTGCCAGCTGTTGCACACCCTGCAAGCCACCCAAGCGCACAAAGACATACAGTGAAGTCCAAACCACAAACCCTTGTTGACCCGCACTATCATAATACCTTAAGGCTTGAATGTGCTAGGTGAGGCGAGAACCTGAGCGCAACCGAGATGTGTCACCGTGCCCATCCCTTAACTCTAGAGCCTGGGGTGGAAATCACTATCATAAAAAGTTCAGCTCTCGGGCTGCAAAGTTAAGACGCTAAGGGTCTACGAAGCCTTCGAATCATTAGCAATGAGCAATATTTTCCGCAGGTATTTTTACCTGTGCAAGGGCCACATAGTGAGCAGCCAGCTCTCTCTTCTCTCTAACAGCGGCGTGAGTCTCTTCTGTAGCCATCCTAATTTCCCGCTGGAGTCTCTGTTCCTGTTGTTGCTGCTGCAGCAGCTCCTGCCGTAGTAGCTCTGCTTCCTGACAAGCTCTATCGTGCTCGTTCCTCAAATGCATATAAGCTGCTGCAGCACGTTTTGCTGCTGCTGCTAGGGCGCCACCGACTCGGTCTTCGTCATCCTCCTCCCCGTCGCTGCTACCGCGCTTGCTGCTGTTGCTGCAGCTCCGCTTGCTACTGCTGCTATGATGCGGCACCTGCACCAAAAGAGGTCCCAGATATTCGTACGCCCGCTGGCGTTCACTGCAAAGAGCCTCTACTCTCCTGATTGCGTCTTGCTGTTCTTCAGTTGCTGCAGCAGCTGCCGCCGCTGCTTGCTGCTGCTGCTGCTGTAGCTCCTGCAGCCGTATCTCAAAATGCATGCGATCTTCTGCTGCGCGTGCCTTTTCAGTGTTAAGGTCATCCACTGCTTTCGTATTCGCAGCTACAGCTGCTCTCAGCTGCTGCTGCTGCTGCTCGATCTGCTGTTGTAGCCGCTCTTGCTGAGCTGCAGCCGCTTGCTGCTGCTGGGCCAGCTGCGACTCTGTTGCTGCAATTTCCTGGGTACGCTTATCAAGCTGTTCCTGCTGCTGTTGCTGCTGTTGCTGGAGATCTTGCAGTTGCTGCCGAAGCTGCTTGAGGGCCTCCTGTCTCTCCTCTTGTTGCTGCTTACTCTTCGCTAGTAGTGTTCTATTGGTTTGCTTAACGGAGCGCAACTCCTCCTGTTGTTGCTGAAGCTGCTGCTGCTGCAGCTGCTGTTCGTCATTACTGCGCCGTTGCGCCGCCTCCAGGGTTTTGACCTACAAGCATCCAAAGTAGCCATGAACATATAAAGGCGTTATCACTTCTTAGCTTGAAACGAGCAGACAAATACCAACAACCATCGGCGCAGGCACTGAACGTTTCCTGTGCATTGAACAGCATTTTTAATGGTTCTGTTTAGTATTTGGGCACGGGGTGTGGATTCAAGAACGCACCTGCTCCGCCAGCTCTTGCCTTTTTTTCTGCAGGTTTCGGTTTCGGTCGCTGAGGTCCTTGCTTCTTTCCGAAAGCTCCCTGTTCTCCTGATCAGCCAAAAGTACACAGCACCCTTGCACCATACTTCTCAGAACCCAGCCTAAAATGCGAAGATTAACAAATATCCCCATAGCCAGTATATTCGTTCCAGTGTGCTCGCTCTCTATGGATTCTTCACAAAATTTGGCAGTTTGCAAGTTCAGCTCCAGGGGAGGCGTGTACATGCGTACATGGCTGAGTTTGGCATTGGCTTCTATCAGTTGCCTCTGCTGCGCCTCTGCTTTCAGCTTGAATGCTGCTGCACCTTCCTGCGTTTCCTTCAGCTGTCGTTCAGCGGCTTCGGCTGCTGCGGTTGCCTTACGACTGGCCTCCCTCAACTTTAGGTTTGCAGCCTCGAATTCGGCTGCTGCTGCCGCCGCCGCAGTAGCTGCGGCTTGCTGGTGTTGCTGCAGCTCCTGCTGTAGAGCCTGTAGCTGATTCTGGTGCTCTTGCTGCTGCGCTTCCAGCAAGGTCTTCTCCTGAGTTGTTGCCTGAAGCTTTTCTATTAGGGTTTCGTTTTCAAGCAAGAGCTCCTTTCGCTGCCTCGCCAACTCTTGATTAGCTGTGGCTAATTCGTTATTCTGAGCCTTCAGGGAGTCAGCGAGCCGTTGGGATTCCTCACGCTGCTCCTTTAGTCGTTTGTACTCGGAGCCAAGTTGCTGCAAGTGTGACAAGAACTCTGGGTCGCCTTCCATCCTCCTCGATATGCTGGTCTAACAATGTACGCTTAGAAAGACCAAGAAACAACGGTAGTGAATTTGGCCTGGATCAGAACTTCACGTGGAACTGGCAAAAATCCCTAATATGGGAGACAACAGAATTTTTCGATATAACCCTAAACAATCATTGTCTCCCGTTGTTCTTAGGGGCTCACTAAGGTTGCCAGCGGGGGGAACAGCTGGGGAATTTTCTTTGCATTGAGGGTACAAACAATTCTGCAGCGAACTGCTTTGCAAATCCACAGCTCAAAAGATGCTGAGGTAGTTAATATTAAACAGACGAGGAGGGAGAAACCGAAGTCACAAAACAGCAAACCTGCTCACCCCCCAAAGGTGGGTGGTCGGCAGGCCTATACACACTTTAGGGTTTCAGGCTTAAAGTGGGAGGGAAGCGCCAATCAAAGCAAGTTAATGACAAATTTTCTGCCATTTCAACAACTCGAAAATAAGATCATCAGTGCAATACTGGACTATGAACACAGGTTGCGCAAATGACTGGGCCGCTGTGGACCGGTTAAAGTGTGCAGACAACCCAGTATCCATGGGCAGCAAACAGAGCCTCGTTCCAACAATTGCTCGTCTCAGAAATCTACTTATCGTATATATAAACTTAAAAATGCCCATTCTTGTTTGCTAGAACAATTGCGTCATCCTACCGGCGAGGCTTCACATTGGCGAACGGGCCCCATCTGACCGGGGGCCCCATATGGGGGGCCCCATGGGAACGGAATTATTGCTTGTAGTTGTGGGATCAAGAATCAAATGCTTAGTTCAGACGGCTTTTTCTTTCAATTATTAGCTTATCGCTTAACTCATAGTCTTCAACACGTGGCTGAGGCCCGCCCGGCTTCTCGTGCTACCCCCACTCCATTGGCCATAGCCAGTGTATGCAGCCTAGAGCAATCGAATTACAGTTAACCTTAAATTAACTGGATTCCTGAATGGCATACTGAACACCCTAATGGACCTGCAAAATGCCCAGCTTTTGCCTGGCACCTTGCAGGGGCCGCAACAACACACGCAGAAATACCTGTAGCAGCAGCTGCGGAAACGGCAGCAATAGCAGCAAGATAGGCATAATCAACAGCTGGTTCTGGGCTTCTGCATTGAAACGACAATGGTAGGGCCTCGACAACAGGCGCAGCAGCAGCAACAATACAGGGGGAAGTCGCAAGCGGAGCAGCGCCAGCGAAATCACGTAGGGCAGGATCGACAGAAATATCCTACCCATAAAGAATTACGTAACGAGCAAGAAGTGAATAGCCAGAGGTTTCAGCAGGAGCAGCATGAAACGTGCCAGCACTACGGTATGCAGCAGAACAATCCGCAGGAAAAGCAGCCAGCTCCTGCTGCTGAGCAACCGTGGGCTGCATCTCCTCGAGCTCATGTCGAGTTTTTGGGAGGAAAACGAGCTAGGGGTCTCGTTGCATCTGAGGCAATCGAAGCATCTGAAGTGAGATGCAGATAATAGCATACCGGCATTAGCTGCCATCTGGATGCTGCGCCTGCTGCAGCTAACAGGGTTTTCCTTTTTGTCCAGCAACGGCTGGCCTTCTGTCACTGGATGCATTGAAGAATATTTGATGTGACTAGCTGTGGCTGTTGTTGCAGCCAGTTAACTAGAAATTACCTCTTGGTGTTGCTGCCAGCAATGCAGCCACAAACAGCACACCATTCTCTAATCCCAAGGGTATGGGATGTGTACCGTGTGCGCAGGTCATTTACACCGAAGAGACTCCACTTCTCGCAGTGCAGCACGAATTTTCCCGGTTGGTCGAGGGCTTGGGGCTTGGGGCTTAATGGTTAACCTTCAGCCTGGTCACGACATGAGGTTTTGCCCGACGGCTTGTGGGTAAGGCTTGGGAATTAGTGCTTGGAGTGCATTCGCAGGCTGTGCGGGCTGACATGTAGCAACTGCTTACGCTTCGTGGGTTCGTTGAAGGATTGTATTCGTCATGTGCTTAACCAGTGAGTTTTACTTGATAACATTATCTTCAAACCTTGCATACATGCTAGACCTTAGACCTCACCCATACGGGTAACATTGGCCCAAATATCAGGTTAGGACACGTAAGCATGGCCACGAACGAAAATGCAAAATTCACTAGCCGAATAAATGCCCTTCCGTGTCGTGAGGCCCACGCATTTGTTATCAATCGGCCTCTGCGCAGAAGTGACCGCTGCTCCTCTTGTTGCTTTGCTGCAACTCTTGTTCCTGCTCCATATGCTGACCCTCCTGCAAGGGGAATTCCTGGAGCTGGAAGTGTTATTGCTGATGCTGCTACTGGTATTGCTGGTACAGCAAGCCGCTGCTTGTGCTGGAAGTGCTACTGTTGCTGCTGCAAGCGCTGCTGTGGTTTTTGCTGCTTTAGTGCAGGGCGGCATGAGGTTCTGGGTGCCGTTTCACTGATACCGGACGGCTTCATCAAGAAAGCAGTGAGATACAGAAGGAACATCAGAGTGCTAGTTCCGCTCCATCAAAACTCCAAGGGCCAATTTGTACACACTCGTCCTGGCATTTGCCAGTGGATTTAGTAACCAATCCTTTAGGTTGAGGGGTTTACGGTTTGTTTTTCAGGGGCTTTCGCTGGGGCCGGTAGTGCCATGCGGAGAGGCCGAGTGTCCGGCGGTTTTTTGCTCCAAAAGGTGCCTGGAGGTTTGTGTATGCACTCAAAACCTGATCGTTAACCCTTTCCCCCCCTGCAAATCGCTGTTCCAGTAATTCTGTCCCAACGTCTGGCTGTCGATTCTTTATGCCACTTTGAGCCAGAAAACCTCTATAGGTGATTGGCGAGGGCTGATTGTTTACGGTTTACGCTTTGCTGGCAGCACGCGCGTCAGGAGACCCTGCATCGAATGGTTTGCGTTGAGGCGACGGAGCGCACCGCTTGGCTTGAATTCCTATCCCACGCCCGAAAACACCACGATGGCCTTGTGATGGCCGGTACGGTTTAGTGTTTAGCAGATGCCCCCAGGATATATGTCTTTTATTTCAGGATTTACTGGATAATGGTTCAGGGCCAAGAGGTATCTGCTAGGCCGAGGGGCAAACTTCTTAGGGCCATCGGAAGATAGATTGCCACTGAGGATTCAAGGTGTAGCTATACGCTTTCAGTTCTCCTCCTTCACGCATAGCACTACGGGCGGCACTAGGCATCGGAATTAATGGTTTGGGGCCTATGGTGTTGTACTGCAGGCGTGTGCATGGCCCAGATTGTCTTTGAGGTGATTTTCAAGGGCCGGCAATTTTCAGAGGTTGTCCGCCCTTTTTTGGAATTCTACTCTGCCCCTTGGTGAGTATTCAACATATGTGAGTACTTAACATATGCCGATGAATATTCACCTAGTGTGCATTCCTGGGGTACATACGCAGCTGGAGTAACTTCTTACGGTGTATTAGCAGCCCTTACGTCTCACTGTATCAGGTGTATGCTAAGCGGTTGTGCCCTCCGTGACTCACATATCTGCAGCTGCAGCTGCAGCTCGTTGGATGGGTACTCTGCTAACAAGGTAGCGCCTTCTGTACCATTCTTCAGTCTGTTTTCTGTTTCTAGCGGATGAACTCGTCCTGTCGGCCCCTATGCATCCCCCCGCAGCTTGTATCCATTCTCTAGTTTCCAACGTTCCTCACGCGCGTAATTTTGCTCCCCCACTGCTGCGGCCGTGTTTGTTGCTGTTGCTGCTGCTTCTGCTGTCCTGGGTTTCGAGAGGCCCCTGCATTCCCTTTAGCTCCGTTTGAACCGCGTGCGCTGTTTCGCGGTACTCCTAGCCTAGTTGCTGCACAAGCTTGCTGCAACTAGGCTAGGCCCGGAGAATATACGTTAAGGGTGCAGGACGTGATGCTTCCTCTGCACCTTGCAGGGAGTCGCTTGCGCCCAACCGCCTCCTTGCAAATGGGCCGCCACCTTCCGGTAGGGCCCCGCTGACAGAGACCGCCGAGGGAAGGAGGAGTCTGCTCGTGCAATCGTTGAACCTGCTAAGGAGGGTCCTTGACGCATTTATCAACAGATGTAGATGCTCAACACTGAAGGACACACTTGATAGTTTCCTTCAGCTTGATACTTACTCGCGCCTCCTGGTCAGCCAGCGTGAAGCCTTCCACATTTCACGAGGACAGGTTCACTGATACATCCCAGTTTTCTCGTTTTCTTCCTGAAGCTGTTCGGCCTTGTAGCACAAGCAGCAACAAGCTGGAAGTGCATTTGATATCGCTTTGACTGCTCCAATGGTGTTAGGGTCCACCCACAGCAGCTGCCTCCTGAACGGCAAAAGAAGCAGCTCCCGATGCTCTTTTCTGCCCTTCGTTGGTTGCATGTGCATGCAGGGGACTTTTTCGCTTGTCTGTCTCGACGTAGAGTTCCAACATCCGCTCAATCGTAGTCTGCTCGACTTGCAGCGAAACCTGTGCTCGTCTGGCCAACGCCGTGGGGAGCTTTCAGGGGTACATATGAGGGGGCCTCTGCCTTTGAGGGAGCGCCAAGGGCCCGCTAGTAAACAAGATATTTCAGCTGACGACGAACAACACGTACAGCTGCTAGGGAAAGTAGGCAATCGTGGATAGAGCTATATATATATATATATATATA